TCGCGGCTGTGGCCGCGGCGCTGCTGCCGCGCCTGCCGTCGCTCAATGCGCAGGCGCTGTCTACGGCGGCCTGGGCGTTTGCGGCGCTCGGGCACGACCCGGGGCCGGCCTGGTGGGGCGCGTTCCTGGCCGCGGCAGGTCCGCAGCTGCGGCAGGGGCGGCTGTCGCCGCAGCAGCTCTCAAACATCTCCTGGGCGCTGGCCAAGCTCGGGGTGGCGGAGGCGGAGGGCAGCAGCGGCGGCGGCGGCGGCGGCGCAGACGGCGGTGCCGCGGGAGGCGGCGGCGGCTGGTGGACAGAGTTTTTCAGGTTCTCGGCGCCGCTGCTGGACTATGGGGCATTCCAGCCGCAGGGTATGGCCAACATCGCGTGGGCCGCTGCCGCGGCAGGCGCGCGGCCGCCGGGGGGGTGGGTGCGCAGCCTGGTGGCGGCGGTGTATGCCGACATGGGGGGCTTCACAGCGCAGCAGTTATCCAACGTTCTGTGGGCGTTGGCGCGGCTGGCGTTGCAGGAGCAGCAGCAGCAGCAGCAGCAGCAGCAGCAGCAGCAGCAGCAGCAGCAGGAGCAGCAGGACGAGCAGGGCAAGCAGCAGCAGCAGCAGCAGCAGCAGGGCTCCGATGTGGAGCCTGATCGTGCGCAGCGGTGGCGGCGGCCGGAGGCGGCAGCGACGGCTGCGCCTGGCCCGGAGTGGATGGAGCGTTTCTGGGGTCAGCTGGCGCGCGTGGAGGCGGATCTGGAGCCCATAGGGCTGTCCTCCATCCTCTGGGCCTTGGCGGTGCTCGGCATCCGGCCCGCCGCCAGGTGTGTGCAGGGCCGCCGCAGTTCCGCACGCGCGCGGCGCCTGCGCTCTGCAGCATGCCTCCTGTGCACACGTCCCCGAGGGCAAGGCCATGTCCGGCATGCGTCTCATCGTTTGTTCCATGAGCCGCTCATCAAATGCAGTTGTCTGGGCCAAGGCAGCACATGGGGTGCGGCACGATCACACACACACACACACGCGCGCGCGCGCACACACACGCACACTCACTCACCGTCACACATACACGCATGCATACATCCTCACACTTTTTCATGCACGTCCACGCACATGCATACGCACATTCACATACACACGTGCGCACACTCACGCACGAAGACCTGTGCTCATCCGCCGCGCTGCCCCAGGTGGGGTGCTCTGCTGGAGCAGGAGGTCGGGGTGCTGGCGCCGGGCGCAGACCCCCAGGCACTCAGCCTGTACGCCTGGGCACTGCCGACCATTGGGTGAGCCGCACGCATGGAAGGGGGTGCCTGTTGGGCGGCTGCCTCGCCACGCGCAGCATGTGCGTGCCGCTGCGGCCGGTGCCCATGGGGCTGCAGCGACATGGCTGATTGGGTACGATGTATGTGTCTTATGCTGCAGTCTTGAGATTGTGACACATGGGCGATTAGGAACGCAGGGACAGGAGAGCGAACGCAAGCGCTCACACGGCAATTGCCTGCGCCGCTGCTGCCTTCATGCAGGCGCCGCCCCCGCAGGCGCTGGTTTGCGCGGTTTGTGCGGGCCACGCTCCCGCCCATCCGCGCCGCCGCGGCCGACTGGCAGCGGCAGCAGCAGCAGCAGCAGCAGCAGCAGCAGCAGCAGCAGCTCGGGGACAGCTGTGCCCTGAATGGCAGCAGCGCTGGCGATGCGCAGCGCCCCGCCCCCGCGGGCCCGGCAGCTGCGCTGGCGCAGCCGCCCGAGGAGGGTGGTGCGCTTGCCCAGCGGACGTTCACGCCCGCGGGGCTGGCCATGCTGCTGTGGGGCATCAACGGCCTACGTCGCCACACGCAGCTGCCAGAGGCGTGGCGCGAGGCCATGATCGCCGCCACCATGCGCACGCTGGCTGCCGCCGCTAACGTGCAGCCGGAGCTGCCGCCCTTGGGCGCGCCACGAGTCGCCGCCGTGGCCGGGTTCTATCCTCATGAGCGGCGCCGCGCGGCGCCCGGCGTGTTTGCGGCGGCGGAGCTGCCTTGTGTCCTGTACTATATGCTCCGGGCCAAGGCCTCGCCGCCCGGGGAGTGGGTCGATCTGTACACACAGGTGGGGCCCGCCTGCGGCAGGTGGAAAGAAGTGCAAGGGGGGCCCAGGGGCTGGCGACAGCCCGTGTCACGTTGGGGGGCTGGCGCAGGCACTGCGATGCTGAGCGTATGGCAGCAAGGGCAGCCGTGACCGATATATGTGGTCTGCCGCAAGTTCACTTGTAGGGTGCAATCGGCAGCTGCTGCTGCTGCTGCTGCTGCTGCTGCTGCTGCTGCTGCTGCTGCTGCTGCTGCTGCTGCTGCTGCTGCTGCTGCTGCTGCTGCTGCTGCTGCTGCTGCTGCTGCTGCTGCTGGCTAATGACCCTGCAAACGCTGTTCCCCCCACCCTGCAGGCCGCGGAGCCTTACGTGCCTCACAGCAGCCCCCGCCTCCTGGCCCAGCTGCTCTTCGCCCTCGCCCGCGCCCGCGCGCCCCCGCCGCACTCGCTGCTAGCCGCGTGCCTCGCGCGCGCCGACGCGCTGCGGGACGCGGGGGTGGTGGCGCCTGCGGGTGACGCGGCCATGCTGCTCTGGTCCCTCGGCGCGCTCGCGCGCCAGGCCGGCGGTGGCGGTGTGTTCGGCAGCGGCGCCCTCAGTGCTGCTGGCTCCTTCAGCGAGGACGCCTGGGCTGGGGACGACGACCAGGATTGGCTCGGCTTCGCCGCCGCCGGCGACGCCGACAGCGGCAACGGCGGCGGCAGCAGCAGCTTCGGCGCTCTCACCGGCGGGCCCGGCGCGAACGGCGGCGGCGCGGCGCTGTGGGGTGGGCCGCCGCGGGGGTGGCTGGACGCACACCTGGCGGGCATGCAAGGTGTGCTGCCCAACATGGATCACCGCCAGCTGGCGATGGTCATCTGGGCGCTCGCCGAGCTGCGGCACCGCCCCAGCCCCTCCTGGATGGCCAGCTTCCTGGCAGCTGCCCAGCGTCTACTCGACCCGCAGCAGCAGCAGCAGCAGCAGCACGAGCCTGCAGGCAGCAGCGGCGGGGCCGCAGCCGACAGCCCGACCGATGGCGGGCAGGGCGCCCCTGCGTCGCTGCTCAGCGTGTCGACGCTCCTCGCGTCGCTGCGGGCGCTCGACTTCCTGCCGCCGGGCGGATTCATGGCGGCCGCGCACGCGGCGGCGGCGGCAGCGGTGCGGGAGGACCCGAGCCCATCCCCGGCGCAGCGCGAGCTGCTGTCGGAGCGCGTGAACGGCGCTGTCGCCTGGTACAAGCTGCGCGTCAGCCAACTGGTCAAGCCGGGGGCCGGCGGCGGCGGCGGCAGCGGCGCTCCAACAGACACGGGCCGTGACGAGGAAGAGGAGGATGAGGAAGAGCGGCGGCGACGGCAGCAGCGGCGTGTGCGGGCGGCGGCCGCGGTTTTGGTTGTGGGGGCATCTGCTGCTGCTGAAGGCGTGGGGAGGCAAGGGGCCACCTAGGCCTGCCCTGGCCACTTGTAACTATCTGGCATGTATGGCACCGCTTCAGGTGCCTGAGCCGATGCCGCGCGCCTGCACGGCGCACGACCACGTTAGCCTCATGTCACTCGGGAACTGCCGGTTGATATCGGGCGACGACTCAACCACGCAAGGATCTCCCCAACCCCCCAAGGCGATAGGACTCGCCCGCACTCCAATTGCTGTCGTCGTTCGATTTTACTTATTGCGTGATGTCGCCTATTCACCTCCGCACCCACAGGGCAGCTCTGGCCCGCGGGGTGGCTCCCTCACCCAAGCCCGTGTTCAACACCCGGTCTCTCGGCCGGACAACTGGTAAGTGGGCAACAGCGCGAACGGCAATGCGATCCGTGAAGCGCGCGTGGGCTGGGGTCAACCAGAACGGCCGGATCAAGCTCGACTGTTAGGGGACCGAGGCTGGTGCCGAGGGAGTCACCTTCCCGGCATATGGCATCCCAGTGCTGCTTGCACGCGGTGCCCCGCCTCACTCACATGACAAGTCCCATCTCGCTGCCAGAGCGTGTCCGCGCGCTCAGCCAAACGGCACTCGCCCTTGGCTCGCCCGCCACAGTGCCCATGGCCGCCAGCAGTGAGTCGTCTGACCTGGCCAAACTTGCTGAGGCCGCCACCGCCAAGGTGGGTCAGAATAAGGACGACTTAAAGCTGCCAGCGCTCGCACATTTATGTGCACAGCACCGCCCCTGGGTGGTTTGGCCCAGGGATGCTGGCGCACGGCCGCAGTAACCGACGTAGGTTGGTGGTGGGCCGGAGCTTGCCCGCATGACCCCCCACCACAGCAGCAGCTGGCAGTGTCCTGACCGTTTGTTGCGGACCAGACTTCTCTATTGAAACCGCCTCTCACACCTCCATTTCCTGCAGGGCAAGGAGTATGCCGCCAAGGTGAGGCGCGCTGTCAGCAGGGGCGCGCTGCACGTCCCGCCATCTGGCCGCAATCCAACCCCAAAACTGCTCTGTGGCTCGAGCGCACAAATCAGCTTTGCATGGAAACCTCAGATGGAAAGTAGTCAGTTTCCATTGAGCAATCAAACCCACTCTATTCACCGACTAAACACACCTGAAGAAACATTTACACGAGCACTCGCAAGGACCCCTGCTTTGACAACCCCCCCCCCCAACACACACACACACACACAATCTCAACCCCAGGCCCAGGAGGCGATCAAGTCGGTTGATGTTGACAAGATCAAGCAACAGGTGTCGGGGCTCAGCGCCACCAACCTAAGGGCCGCGCTGGACAGCGCCCTGGCCCTGTACGGCAAGTACGATGGCGACGGGGACGGCAAGCTGGAGATCGGGGAGGCCGTGGCCCTGCTCAACAGGTTGCGCGCGCGCACGCGCGAGCGATTTGATTTTTCAGGGGTTCCAGCCGGCCTGCTTCGTGCGTCCGGCCACAGTATATTGCCTGACCGTCCTACTCTTGAAGGCGTGAGTGCAATGCGCGTGAGAGGGGCCTGCACGGAGCAATGTGCCACCAGGGCTTGAGCACACACGCTCACAGGCAGGAAGCGCCGCCGTGCGTTATTTTGCACGTGACGCCCCGGCCCATGTCGTCCTCCCTTTCCCCCGCTTGTCCCGGCCCGCCCCTCAGCGAGAACGTGACCGCTGCCGTTGAGAAGCTGACTGGGCAGCCCCACACCCAGCGCACCGAGGCCGACATCAAGAAGTGGTTCAACCGCGCCGACTTTGACAAGAGGTGGGCCGGTGGCTTTCAGGCAAGCCCGACGACAAGCGTTCACTTGCATTCCTGCGTTCTGCGTTGCTCGAGGCCCACCTCAAAGCACCAGGAGTTGCGTCCCATGCGACCCCCGCGCTCGCGGCCGCGATGTGCACGGGCAACCTTTTGCACAAAGCCTCCTCTGGGTCTGCCTCACGTTGATACTCCGCCGCCCGCCCCGGCCCCGGCCCCCCTCAGCTCCACCCTGTCCAAGCGCGAGTTTGCCGTGCTCTACACGGGCCTCATCGTGGACAAGGCCAAGGGCGGCCTGCAGGGATTCGCGACGGCCGCCATCTCCGCCCTGGACAGCGACAACGACGGCATCAGTGAGCGCGATGCGCTGCCGCGGCGAGTACGGTCCCCTTGCGCCCCTGCCGCACACGCTAGCACCGCCCCAACAAACTCCTGCGCTCCCCCATGTAGCCACCACCAACCACCACCCCATCCCCCTGTCCTCGCCTCCGCCATCATACTCACCCCTGCAGTCAACTCTACTGAGCTCAAGGCCCTGCTGGCGGTGCGCACACGGGGGGGGGGGGAGGGGCTGTCAGGGCTGGGGCATGCGCAAAGTTCATGCGCGGGCTCGGCGCTGCACGGGGCCGTCGCGCGGCCGCGCACACCAGCCGCGCAGCTTGTGGTGGGAGACCCCACAATCGCATGGAGGGGAGCCCTTGAGCGGACGCTTGGGGCAGACCCGCGCGTTGATAAGGGGTTCGCGGCGGCCCCACCATCTATTTGTGTCATTCGGCTGCGCGCAGAGCGGCCCCCTGGCGGTGGTGGTCAACGTGATCCCAGACGGCAAGGAGGTCAACTACAGGTGGACTGGATCCCCCTCTCACATTGACGCACGGGTACATAAATGCGCGCAATGACACTCATGTGTGCACCTGAGCTGGCACGTGCGCGTGCCCCCATTTGCGTTCAAGCGCAATGGCGCTCGTGCACTGCATGCTCATACGTCATATCGCACACACACGTACGCTCACGCACACAACCGACTCCTGGCCCTAATCACGCAGGGAGCTGCTCTCCAAGCTGCCCGGCGGCGCCAAGTAGGCGGGGGCACCCTCCGGGGGCCCCCTGAGCGGGGCGCGCTGCTCACCCCCAGGGCACCCGCTGCGACGGCCGTGCCTGGCCAACAGCCCCCAACCAGAGCGGCGGGCTGATTACTGGGGGCCGCTGGTGTGTGGCCGCTGTGATCGATGACAAACAAGCAAGTGGCACTGTGCCGCAACGAATGAGCGACATGGATGGGTGGGCGCGCAAAAGCATGCGGGCCCTTTGCTGTTGCATTCCTATGCAGAGGCACCACACATGCCTCACTGTCGGTATGAACGCATGCACGACTCAACACCACAACCAAGGAGAGATATCTGCGCTACAACACACACTTTGTAAAGATTTGTCGTGAGTGTATGGGCAGTGAGCAGGGGTTGTGAGGGAACTTTCGTATCACGGCGGGGTGACCGTCAAGTGCTGAGAAAACACTCGGCATCCGCCTTTGCATGCACAGCTTCAGCCTGAAATATTACATGGATGCAGCCAGTTGATGCACCCATGTCTATGGTGCATTGAGTCGGTGAGCGAAGCAACCAGCAGCGCATGGCCAGCGGCGCATGACCGCCTCTGCCACAGACCCAAACCCGCCGATGTGCAGCTGACTGCATGGCTGCCCGTCGTATGCGCGCTCATAAGCTTTTCGATTGTCCTCATTCTACCTAGTACTATCAACTGCAAATTCGCCGAGTCCTTCGAAACTCACCAGATCGGCTTGACGAGTGCCATCGACGCGCGCGCGAGGGCAATCCGCAAAGATGCAGCTAGGGTGAGCTAAAGACTTGAATTACACACAGGCGCACAGCAAGGGCACTGTGGTTGGCTTCGCGGCCGCAGCTTGACGCCCTGCACGCGTGTGCGCTCGGCCTGACAAAGACCGGTGGTGCGCTCACCTCGTGCCGCTGATTGCCTCATGCCCTCCGCGCCCTTCCGCATGACGCAGCTTGCGACCTGCGGCCCTTGCGGCCCCAACACGGCGCCAGCGCGCAGCAACGCGCCCCCAGCCGGTCGCGTGGCCGCTACGCTGCTCCGCCGCCCGCAACGCCGACGCTGCATGGCGCGCGGCCGGCTCCACAGCAGCGGCTCGAGGCATGGCAGGCGTAACCGCTGACCTCTCTGCCCAATTGAAGGACTATGATGGAAAGTATGGCAACGGGGAGGCATCCCCAATCCCTGAGGTGCGGGCACGTGCTGGGCGCGCTGCGCATGCTGCCATCCCGCCCTGGGACCCGCATGTGCAGGCGCGTCCAGTAAGCATGGCTTATGCGTGATAAGAGTTTCAGCTGTGTACCAGCTGCAGCAAGCAGCGACTCCAGAGGGGTGCAGGGTTGAGGACGAGGCGCGCGGTGCCGGGCTGGCGGTTCATGCGGGCCGGCATCATGCATGCGTTCGGATTATGGTGCCTGTTCCACTCACATCCATGCAACCTCCCCCCCTTCACACACGCACACCCGTGGTGTCTGCTGCACCCTAAACCTCCTCAACCTGCCCCGCCCACGTCCCTCCTGCCCTACTTCACCCCACCAACCCCATCTGACCACGCAATGCCCCTGCTCTCACTCACCACAACAGCCGTCTCACCCCGCCACCTTTCGTCACCCGATCCTTAACCCCAACCTCACCAGAGCCTCCTTGCCGCCCTGGAGCCCTCGGAGCGCTCCTCAGTGCAGCTCTTCCACCGCTCCAGCCCCAGCGTGGTCAACATATCAACCAGCACTGACGTGGCGCGGCTGTTCCCCCTGAACATGATGCAGGCGAGGCGCCGCGCGCGTGCACGCGTGGCTGACCGTAGATTCTTTTGGTCCCGGAGGCAAACCGGGCAAACGCGCTGGTGCCCTCCACCCACTGCGTGCTGGCCGCAGCGACATGCCATTCGTGCTGCTTACCCAGGCTGCTCTTGGGGTGGCGCAAGTCCGCCTTCCGGCGTCCTAGCTGATATTCGGCCCGCCGCCCAATTGCCTGCCTCCTTCCCACCTGCAGCTGCCCAGGGGTGTTGGCTCTGGTTTCATCTGGGACAAGAAGGGCCACGTGGTGGGTGCGCTGATCTGCGTAGCAGATCACTGCCGCTGCCAGAGCGCACAGCGTGCATGCCTACCCAGCAGCCGGCACTAGGGGCCCTGTCCTGTGTGCTGCGCGGCGCTGTGGCTCCCGCCCGCTCCCCTTACCTTTTCTGTACACCGCTGGCAGGTGACAAACGCTCACGTTATCAGCTCCGCGACAGACGTGAAGGTCACCCTGTTTGACCAGTCAACATACCGCGCCAAGGTGAGGCTGATCGCGCAACACGCGGGCGCGCTCGAGCCGCATGCTGCCTCGACTTGGGGAGACAGGGACGCTCGGGATGACAGGACCCAGGCTGCGCCGCACGCACGGTGCCGCGTCCCTGCGCCTGGGATTGAGGAGAGGGCGGCCCAGGCCTCGCTGCAGCAGGCTGAGTGCGCACCGACAGGCCGGCACGCAGCCCAGGCCTGGACCCCCGCCACCCTGGCACCTCCTCAACAACCATATAACCAACCATCCGACCAAGGGACCACCCCCCCCCCCCACACACACACACACTGCAGGTTATTGGCCGTGACAGGGAGAAGGACGTTGCGGTGCTGCAGCTGCTGGACGTGCCGCGCGCCAAGGCGGCCCTGCTGCGTCCTGTCGCGCTGGGCAGCAGCAGCGACCTGCTGGTCGGACAGAAGGTGGGGGGGGGGCACGCGCGACAGCGACAGCGACCCTGGGGGTCGGTGGCTGGCTGGGTCCCTGCTGCGCCTGCGGGATGGCGTGGGCGTTCCGCGCGGCATGCGGTTGGTCGCCGGCCACCTGAGTGGCTTCAATTGAGTTACGCCGCGACGAGGTGCCCCACGGCCCCGTTTGCCTGGGCCCTTTGCACAATCACCATCAGCCCGCCGCACTTCCCGCCCTGCCCCTGCCGCAACCCCTACCGCCGCCACTGCTCAGGTCTACGCCATCGGCAACCCCTTTGGCCTGGACCAGTCGATGTCGTCAGGCATAGTGTCGGGCCTGGGCCGTGAGCTGCCCACGTCGCCCACAGGGGTGCCCATCACCAACGTCATCCAGACGGACGCGGCCGTGAACCCCGGCAACTCGGGTGCGCTGCGCGCCCCCCGCGCCTGCCCCTAGGGACTGGAGAGGCTTTTATGGGGGTTGAGGGGGCGTGAGAGGTGTCTGGCGCTGGGCGTTTCTTCGACATGCCCAGTGCTGCAACTCCACCCCACTTTCCTCCCCACCTGACCCCAACTTTCCTTCACATAAGTGCAAGCACAATCACACCATACTGACAATTTTCAAGGCAAGTTCAAATGACCCTGCGCACCTTCCCTCCCTCCCTCCCTCCCAGGCGGGCCCCTGCTCAACAGCCGGGGCGAGCTCATCGGCATCAACACCGCCATCCTCTCCGGCTCCGGCTCCAGCAGCGGCGTGGGGTTCGCCATCCCCATTGACAGCGCGAAGGGGCTCGTGCAGCAGGCGCGCATGGGCACACGCGC